GCAGAACAAGAGGTGGATAAATAACTATATTCACCATGGGGAATAAAATGACTTGAGGATAGTAAACACAGACCTGGAACAGGAAGGAAAGAAGTCTGACCTCTCTCAGGTCACAGTTGCCCATGAAAAGGGAGACCCTTCACTAAGAGAAAATGTGTGACTAATTGCTAACCCAACTGAAACTACCAGCACACCTCTACCTCCACGTGTATTGGAAACACCAGATTACAGGGTTTTCAGGTCAACTCTTCATGTCCAGAAAGAGACCAGGTAGCCTGTGCCTTCCAAATCCCAGAGGTCTGATTGGGCCCCTATAAGTTTTAGGGTAAAGAAACATATCACCTCCTCTCTTTTCATTCTCTAAGAGTCCAGTCTAGGCCTTGTCCACCAGCAGAATCAAGATCCACTCAGAGGGTGCTTGACCAGTACCTCATGTATATGGGCTTAAAGAAAACCCACTGGTGGATGAGCTGCGTTGGTTCTGATTTGTCTGTAATGTAACCACAAAGCAAGGGGCCAGGAGCAGTCGTGGGTCTGTGGTGGAGCTCTCACCTTCCTTGTGGAAGACCCAAACTTGATTCTACCCGTCTGTCATTAGAGGCTTATGTGTCACTGTGATGCTTTACTGGAGTTTCCCAATGAAGATGGACTAGTAAGAAAGGCCTGACAATCGACTCTCCCAAAAGTCAGCCAAAGAATGCACTGTGGATCACAGTGGGTCTGTCTCATTGTGCAGGGAGTTGCCATGAGACCAGCTTGAGGGCAGCTAACAATAACAACAAGAGACTCAGAAGGACCCAATGTTACCTTACTCATTTTACAGTTGAGAAAACTGAAGCAATTAGACATTGAAGCCAGGAATTCCAGACCCTTGTGGCTTCCTTACTTGTGGCAGCACGCCTTGCTTGAGTGATCTAACCAAGTCAGCATGTACCACCTAGGGGTATACGTGACGTTTTGACTCCTGCAGGCCTCAAGTTGGCCTTTCCTCCAGCTCCACACAAGATGTCCAGATCCACTGCCAAGTCATGGGGAGTAAGAGAAGAGAAAAGAAGGAAAGAAAGAGAGGCCTGTCCATAGCCACAGCTTCTCACCAGCTCCTGGAGCCAAGAACCAAGCTGCTCAAAGAGTCGACTCTGGCATAAGGGTGCTTCTGTTGAGGCGGGTGGGCCTAGAAACCTGGGGCCTGGGCGTGGGCCCAGAGCCGGCTACTACACTGGACGCCTGTGACTCACTCCACTGGCGAGCCCTGGTACGAGCACCATGGGAGCTCAGCTGGCGCTGGGGGTGGTGTGGGTGCCTTGGGGACAGGGGGAGGCTCTGCAAGGAAGCTGCCCTTCCCAGGCATTTAATTCAAGTCTGCCAGCTAAGATTCAGAGACCATGGTTCTGCTCCTTATTGAGAAAGGCTACCCCCATCTTGGCTCGGTATCTCAACTTGCCCACCGATGGGATGGGACATTTGTGAAATTTTAAGACAAGAGGATTTCTTAGAGCTTTCTTGTCTGATGTTTATAAGGATCACTCATAAGGAAGCATGTGGCGTTAGGGTGGGGTCGGTCAGCTTGTAAAAAGTCTCACTGTGTGAAGAGGGAAGGGCCAAATGCAGGCAGATGGGCAGGTTTGGATGCATCCTTTCCTGGCCATTGTGGCTGGAGAAGTCCCTCTCAGCTTTCTGCATTGGCACACGTGCATGTCCGTTGTATGATGCTTTCATTCCCCTGGTTTAGAGCTCTGGAGCTTCGGGTCACACTGCTAAACCAAAGGCAGCAGCTGTCTAGCAGTTCATATCCACCGACAGCTCTGCAGGAGCCTCTAATGTGATTCACAGTCTCCCAACACCCCCACTGGAGGGCCAGTACCAACTCAACGGCTTGAACTGAGTTGATGTGACTATATATACACAGAGGAACACTAGCGAGTCAGTGGTAAGGAGCCGTGCCACCAAGCCAAAGGCGCATGGTTTGAATCTCCCAGCTGCTCCTCGGGAGAAGGTGAGCAGCTCCACCATTGCAGTTTACAGCCTGCTGGCGTTGCAGCTGAACTGGTTCCAACTCAGTGGCTCATTAACAACAACAATGCATTAAAGATATGAACAGCTTAAAGAATGATTATGAAGTGAATAATTCTGTTCACTTCCACATGAGCAAGTTGTCCTCCCTGCTCATAAATCCCTCCTTGCCCCCAGAAGTTAGCATTCATTTGTTATTATGCTAATAGGTCTCTTGGTTTTTCCTTTATCATTTCGATGCACTGGGACATTTTTGGTGTGTTTTCACTGTCATTTGTTTTTGTAGTTATCTATCCATGTGCAACTCCAAACAGTGTGCTAAATAATCCCTTTAAAAAATTAAAAAGCAATAATATTCTGAGTAGAGGTTCTAATAGTGGCACAAATCAAGTTACAGAGGGAAGGTGGTTCTTACAATAAAAGGCCTATAGACTAGCACTTTGTCTATTATAGTGTACAGGTTAGGAACCACGAGATGTAGAGGCTCAGCTATGTCATTTATGGTTCTTAAGTCCTGGAGGAAATTCCATCTACCA